AAAGAATCCTGTCAAAACTGCAAACCTCAGCATTTGCCACAAATTCTCTGACTCAAACTCAACTTCAACCAGGGTTGCGAATGCAAGTTGGGTGACCTAATTGACTGGATACTAGTGTATTTAAAACTCTGTGCATCCCAAAAGGAAGCCATTTGGACCACAGCACTGTTCCTCTCCGGTGGCGACGGGAACTGCTGGGCCTGGCCGAGGCCGACCTCGCCTGCCTGACCTCTATGTCAGGTGGTCGGTCTATTCAAGCCCTATAAACCCACCAGAGAATGATTTTGGATTTAACTCCATCTTCACATTAGTCCCAACATTTGAGTATGATACCTCTTGATACTGTAACTTGTGTTGATTAACCTATCACTCCCTATTTGCTTCTTGGATTGGGATCATGATGATCCAAGGGAATTCGGATTTCATCCTCACAGAATCCATCCCCACCTGCTGCTTACGGACCCCTTCCGTTAGTTGCATGTTAGAAACTTAAGATACCAAAATTACCAATGAATCATGCCTGGGTAAAATGACGTTTCTTTTCTGACAAGCACTTAAACCTCCCCTCACCTTTTGGGATGCGAAAAGGGTTTATGCAGTTGAAGAGTTTAAGTCAGCTAGTTTGGGAGTGGGCGAAGAGCATACCTCCAAAATATTGGAATAGGCATGCTTTCAGCACTAGTGTAAGTGTAAAGAGTGACGACTAACTAACAATATGTCCGAATCCTTCAACAAGTCAGGTACAAGCCCATAGCCCATAGTGTCTCTTTTTGAGTGCATAAGGAGAGATTCAGATTGAAAATGGTTGTTAAGGCGGCAATGAGCAGGATATGAAAAGGTAAAGGTTTCAAATGGAAGCAATATCCTTCCAACGTTTCAAGGTGAGGGGAGGTTTAACAAGTACATATCAGAAACGTCAGGAGAGGTATTTTTCCATTTATTACTCTCCTTTGATGTTTTCCGTACCATCTGGCCATCTTCATTACTATGAAGCGTCAAACGTAATTTTGATATTTTGCTGTTTAAGAGATTTTCAACGCACCCAACATATTTGATACACTGCTCCATGTAATATGATGCCCAGGCTTTTTCAGTTATTTGTGCAGGTGTGACGCTTAATATTAAAATCATTTCTAATTTTTGTTTGGAAGGAGTGCAAATACAAATGCATACAAAACAATATAAAATACAAGACTTTGGATTCTACGTACTTGCATTTGCGCTCCTTCCAATGAGCAAAATGAAGCTTCTTCCTCCCAATAGCATTCTTTTTTTTTTCCAATTTTTATGTTGATCAACCAATTCAACCGGTCATTCAAGCTCAGCCTATAATCATCTGATATTCATTCATCTCTTAAGAGGAGACCGTATTGGGGAATCTACCATTTAGCACTTGATCTTTCAAATTATCCTTTTTTTTTTTCCTTTGAATTCAGTATGTTGGTAGCATTGAATCAGCCATCTCCCTGGGATTTGAGATAGCTGCAAATTACCTTCTCTATTTCAAATTATCCTTTTCAAACCGCCATTAACCCATACGGTCAAACCATTCAGTTCCGTTTTACCTCAAACCCGATCCCTGGGATTTGAATTGGCCATCTCCCTGGGATTGTTTGAACTGAAGTTCCGTTTTACCTCAAACCCAATCCTGGCCAAAAACTGTTGAATCTATCAACAACCTATTGATCCGGGCAGTCAAACCGTCAACCCATCAATCCGTTAAATAATTTTTGGCCACTTTTTTTTAATTTTTATTATCAGAACGAATAATCCGTTCAAACCAGATGGTCAAACCATCGACCTGGAAACCAGTGGCCAAAATGATTTCGTTTCCAGGTCGTTTTTTAAAACCATGGTTAATACATTTCCCAGAGATGGCATGGTTCAAAGCTTGAAAACTGAAACAATTTCTATTCGTGGGTATTTCCTCCCTTGATAAACGTAGGACTTGAACTCAGCAGAGCAAAGCATCTAACAGAACTCGAAAGTCGAAACAGATATTATCACTTTATCAGTATGAAGCATAGACCTGAAATTTCACTCTTTCAACCAACCCAAAGCTTCTCCCACAACGATGAAATGCTGCTGTAAATTGTAAATTGTAACAAGACTAGTAGTTGTTGTCGTTTTATTTGTGAGAATGATTAACTTTAAATCATTAAATGGCTTCCATTTTGGAATATCACCTCTAGATTCCCAATTGACAAAAAACAGTAATGGAAAAGGTAGCCTCTACAATCGACCCAGGTAGCCTCTACAATCAACTCGTAATGGAAAAGGTCGTCTTTTCTGGTATGGACCACCGGGAAAGCTTGTTTTTAATGTCATCAGTTCCTGAGAGGTACTTAATGGATTTGGAATCCAATGCGTCAAAAAACAGTAACCAACCCACACAAGCATAGCTACACTAGTATGAAAATGGTACTTTGCAAATTGCCTTTCTTTTCTCTTTTTTCTTTCTTTCCTAATCCTAACTGAAGACATCACTAAACAAGATAGACCTGAGACCTCTACCAATTCAAACAATAGGAATTTAAGTGCGTTTAGCATCATCACTAGATAATCTTTAAAAAAAAAAGCATCTATAATTGAAATCTACCAGTGAATTTTAAACCAAAATTTCCTTACAAAAAGAATAAAATTCTCAATTAGAAAGTTGCAACAGTGCCTGAGAGAACAGAGAAGGCAATATGTTATTACCCAACAGATAAGTCAAGAAGGAGAAGCTATTTAATTCTCCAAAAGGATTATTGGCTTAAAAAATCATTAACTCAATAGATAAAAATTAATTTGAAATAAAGACTTTTTTCTGGTACTACATACTACACATTACAGGGGAGTTAAGGGGTGTTGGGGGATGCCGATTGCCGAGTGACCATCTCAGCTACTGGATCATTGGCAAAATCAAGAGTTAAAACGGGTATTTAATGACTCAGAGAAGCAATCACTTGTAGAAGTTTATTTTCTGCTTGAGTAAAAGTCTGCTTATGCATCTCAAGAGTGCAGAAATATTTAAAATCAAGATGAAGAATTTTGGTCCACTGCATACTGGCTATACCTGTTTTCAAAGATATCTAAACTGAATGTTCAAATAGAAGTTTGAGAGTAAACATTCACCACTCAAAACTAAAGGCCCTTCAACAGTATTTGACAATCTCCTCCCGATGGGAAGATATTTGGAGCTGCTATTGGTTAAGACTATTTTCAATTATAACTAAAAGGTCATTACTCAATGTTGGTCCCAGCTATCTGGGGTCTAGGGAGGAGTAGACTGGATAATGACTTAACCTTTGGCATTCTTTGCACAAAGTAGCTACTCTCAGACTCAAACCTGTATTTCTCACGCTTGCCAGTCTGAGATTTTAACATTACACCAAGCAATGGCCCCTCAATTATATCAATAACTCAGAGAAAGTAAATGAACTTTTGAACTTAAGGTCATAAATGCATCTACCAACTAAAACAAGTAGGTATTTTCAAAGATGATAGCCTTTCCTTTAGGGCAAACCTACTTTAATGAGATCATTAACTTAAAAGTGCAAACAGGTTTTTAAAGGGAGCAACTGTCACATTCCTTGATGAGTAATCACACTATAGGTAGTGAAATGTATCCTACAGTAGTGCATCCAGAAACCCTTACATAGTTTCCTTCACTTGTTACATTTTCCCTTGATGACTGAAATGCTTGCATTATTCCCTCTATCACCTACCCACCCCCCAAATAAAAGAAAACAAAAGGTTATTCCCCCCATCAAATTTACCAATCACCATGCATAATTAATTTCATTCATTTAGAAATAACATGTAGAATGAACATTTTTCGACACTAAATTTGATAACTATTTTTTTACAACCAAACTTTTCAGCTAAGAGACTAGGAATATTAGGCTGACAATAAGTAGGTCCCGACCTAGATGGCTTGTAGATTAAGCTGGGCAAGTCCAAGAACATTTATGAGCTTGTTTCATTTTAATTAATGGAAGTATGTGTATTTTGCCTGAGTGTGCACCACTGGTTTAAATTCAAGGCAGTGCCCTAAATAAGTGCTGTCAGATTCGGAACAGATTGGACGGTTGAACTGGTGCACCAGTGACTGGAAGAACTTTTGACATCCTTTCTTTTTAACAATTTTCATGGAATAAATTAGTAAACCACTGGTTAAGCAGGTCACCCAATAGCTTTCAGATCTTTTGTGAAATTCAGGTCTGACTGGGTTAGGTATCAACATGAGCCAGATGATTTAACAGATAGCTTGTTAAAAACCTGATTTTTTTTTTTCACAGCACCAGATTTTTAAGAGCATAATAGAACCTTACAAATATGGAATTTATAAACCAGTAGGAACGAAAGGGTTAATTACTGTATTTTCCTATGCAGCTTGGCCAGCTATGAAACTTCTGCAATGGTTAAAGTCACAGTGGAGCCAGCTGGCACAACAGTAGACTCAACCAGAAATTCAAAACCCTGTACACCTACAGTGCATGGGATGGACAAAACACAATCCTATTTAACCAGAGAGTAAATATGTGGTGATTGGTTTAATTAGTCCAGCTCAAATGATATTTTGGGCCGTCAGAACCAAAGAGAGGAGAATTCCCAAATAACCAAGTTAGAACATGATGCTACAGTCCTGAAAGTCAAACCAGAAAGAATCCCCTTTCAATTTCTCAGTTTTTTCAATCAATGCTTAAGAGTTGTAAGTTTATCAACAAACTGGAGTCTCACTACAGATTAATTAAATATAAATTGCAGTTTTGAACAACGATGAACGTCATTAACTGCACTTATAGTTAAACAACCATTATTACTTGAGGAGTGCAACAGAAGCATGAATATAAGCAACCCATGCAATTGAGATAGTAGAATATTATAAAAACTGATAAATTTAATCAAGCCCACGAAAAAGGAAGAAGAAAAAGGAAATTGAGGTGGATATATAAGCAGACAATTCAATAAGCACTGCACAGAAAAATAAAAGAAAAGAAAAAACAAGATGGCGATGGAATAAGTTCATATTTACATTAACCAAAAAGTAACACGAGACACAATCTGTTGAGTGATCCAAAAGGAAAGAGAGAAACAGATGTCTTTTATTCACACTGCAGCACCCCAAACAATCCATTACATACAGAAAAACCCATTATTTTCATGCTGATAAATCTAAGGGAATTGCTAAAAAAATTACATATGAAATTAAAAATAGAGATCTTACAGGCATGAACCAGGAGCTTTTCCGCAGCATTCTCCTTAAGTTCTCCACACCAACATAAGAGAGCATGAGATAAAAAGAGAGCGAGAGACAGTCCAGGTACAGTGACGAACACTAACCAAAGCATCCCAGGCACATGAGCCAACAAAAACTCCCCAATTCTATCACAATCACAGAAATAGCAGCTTGAAACTCCTATTCATCGATGAGGATCACCAGGGAGGGAATTCAAGCTACATTGAGAAAACTCGAATTGCAGAGGCTCATGTCTGTCCACTGAACCATGAATACAATCACCTTGAAAGTAATAATATCTCTGCCAGTTGGTTATCAATCGTCACCATAACCAAGCTCCTACATCCAATCGCCAAGAAAAAACAATTTTCTTTGTGGCAAGAGAGGGATCTCAGCCACTTCTTCAAATCATAATTTGCAGGTCATAGTGCAATTTATTACCAATTCAATCTTCAATTCAACGTTTATGGTCCTGATCAAGGTGGCAACCGGAAGACCATCCTTCCTACCAAAACAGAGAAACGAATGCATCTTCGCCATTGCCAGGTACCAACAGAAGGAATTCCTTAAAATTCAACCAGAAAGCTTAAACCTCAAAAAACCCCTTCCCTTCTCCAGTTAGGCCATATGAAAAGATTGTCGGCGCATTCACAAACCCTAGCTCCTCACTTACTGACACACACGCACTCTCTCTCTCTCTCACTTAACAAAATCCCAAGCCCCAAAAAACAAAAACAAGAGTGACAAAAACTAAACCCTAATTTTCCACTGAACAGAGAAGGATAAGTAAGCAACGTAGTAAAACCCTAGTTGATTGGATTTCGTAGTTCATTCAAATTCCCCAAACCCTAATTGTTCCCTGAATCACCCAAACTAAGAACCCTAACTCTAACCCCTAAAAGTTCGCCTCATGAACACACGAATACACACAATCAAAATCAACGATGCTCGTCGTCTCTTCTCACCGACGACGCCGGGGCACCAGACAACGAAGCGAGCAAGTTCAGATGCCCCTGCGCAATCGGCAGATAATTACCAACCCTCGCCGCCGACGCCTCTCCGATAGGCTGCTGCGGGAACCTCCCCGTCATGGACTGCTGAGAGGCGACGGCCACCGCAGCCGGCGTGGGCACCACCATCTCCGGTGTGGCCGCGAAGCTCCAAACCTGACCAAAATCCGGCCTCGCCGGAAGTGCCCAGAAGCCACCCGTGGGCCCCACAGCAACTGCAGCAGCGGCCGCAGTGGCATCATCCTTTGCGCCGTCGTCCGCATCATCGTCCGTCCTGAGTCGCTTACCCAGTATGAACGGTGTAGGCCCCAGCATCGGGGGCGTGGGTTTCTGATCAAGCGACGCCGAAACGGACGTACCGGATGAACCCCTCACCGAGACTGACACGGCCGAGAAACTAGCGGGAGTGGTCCCAGTGCCGGTGGCGGCGATGATGGACGGCTCAGCTTGACGGAGAAGCCACTCTATCGTCTGACCGTCGGATTTATGGCCCAGTTCCCGAGTGAGCTGGAACACCCTAGCAGCACAGATGATCGGCATGCGTATGCGACGTCCACGTCCATCGACCTTGCTGTGCCGGTCCTTCGCCGGTGGTTTCTTCACCGCTAGAGCTCCGTTACCTGGTGGCTGCTGTCTTTGCGGGTCCATGAGCGCCCCGTTAGTCGCACCGTTAGTCGCACCGTCGGTAGTCGACATCTCTTTGCTTCTTCTGCGATGTGTGTGTCTATGCCTCTAGAGAGAGAAAGAGATGGAAAGACAGAAGAAAGAGCTTAGCTTTGCTAAGATGAGCTGGTGTGCGCTTGTTGATGGCGATCGCAGTGTGTCTGTGTATGAGAGAGAAGAGAGAGAAATGAAGTGTGTGGGTTGGGAGGGAAAAAGAGAACTCTAATCATTGAGCGGCAGGAGCGGGTGGAGACAGGCGGAAGGGCACATGGAGCAGTGGGCCCCAGTCCGCACAACCCCACCTCTCTCTCCTCTTTCACCCTTTCTCTCTCCTCTTTCAGCCCTTTCTCTCTCTAGTGTAGTCTGTACGTACAGTACTCACTACTCAGTCCTCTTCCTCTCTCCTCTCTCCTCTCTCCTCTCCTCTCCTCTCCCCTCTGGTGGTGATGCTGATGCAGTGATTTTGGGGAAATTGACACCTGGTTGGCTGCGAAATTACCTGAAGGGCCACCTGGTTGCTCTTCCCTCGGCCTTCATCTTCCACTGCTTTCTCTCTCCACATTTTCTAGTGTTTTTTTTTACTGCTAAGAATTTCGACGAAGTTGGAATGGAAGGAGACGAATAGGGTGAGGGGAGTGGGTGCGGGAGGGAAGGGCCGCTGGGCAGGGGACAGCAGGCTACAGGGAATTTTGGTCGTTTCGGGTCGGAACGGGTAATATCAATTCTCCTTATAGTTCGACCCCCTTTGTGTCTTCAAATTACGGGACTGCCACCACAACGCATCGGCATCGATGTCGAGGTGTCTAATCTGCTTGGACAAAAGCTTGGTGCGGGAATATAGTACACCTTCCCAAAATTCCAATCACTACATCCTGGGCCCCATACTTTGCCACGTTTCACACATTTTGGACAACTGTACATGGGTCCCATCCCCTCATTTCATTAGACTACCTTGATCGAAAATATGGCCTCAAAATTGTGGCTGTTTTGGTGGGACAAAATTTACTTTTTCATTATTAAAAATTAATATCATCGCCTTTCTATGCTCACTATTTGGGGTGGAGGTTTTGGCTTGGGCCCTTTCCTCTCTTTTAGGGCCAAATCTGCTACCCACCCAATACATTCAACCGGATGGTCCAATATATACGGATCGGATCGGATTTGAACGAGGGTATATTCAAATTCAATCTAATATTGTTCATATCGGATCGGATAGATTCGATTTGAATTTAAATTCTATTGGTAAGTTGGATTTTTGGGTCTGATCTGATTTGATTTATTTTTTTTAATTAATAATTTATTAAAAAAATTCGAATATATTAATTTAGATAAAGTAAAAAATAAAAAATATAAATATAACAAATTTATAAAAATATATTTATAAATAAATAAATAACATATATATATATATATATATATATATCGAATCAGATCTTTTCGGATTGAATAGGGGTAATTCGAATATAATTCGATTTCTGATTGTATCCTATTATCCAATCTGAAGATCCAAACAGAGTGATCCGAATTCAACCAAATAAGATAGTATTGAATCATATAGATCATGATCCAATCCATTTGCACCCCTAGTGAATCCATCCCTGTCCCAATTTAACATTATTCCCAAATTTAGAATTGTTAATGAATCGGGTCTGGGTCAGGATAGAATGCACCAATCCCAAACGGGTTATTAATCAGGACTAAAAGAATGACATTAATTGGGACAATTAGGTGCGATCCGATTATATCGGCCGATACATATCATATCAGAAACCCTCTGAACCCGCTCTTACGGTAAGTGTTTTAAGTGTTTGGGGGTTTGACCAATATCAAGGGGTATTTAGAAACTGGGCCAAACCCGGTCCGACCAGATAACAATCATTTCCATTTCCTGGCCGGTCCCTGGAAACTTGACTCGTTCGCGAAAAGGCCCTCCCAAGGCTGCTGATGATGATGGCTAATAAGAAATGTCTCATCAATATTATTGAGATTTGATAGATCACGATTTCCTCTATACGTTACATCACTTTCTCTCTTTTCTCTGTTTTTTTTTTAAGCATTAAATTAAAGCTTTTCTGAGAAAAGGAGGTAAATCTAAACCATACACGTTTAGTGCTAATAGCTGCAATAATAATGTCCAAACGAAAAGCCAAAACAACGAATTACTTCATCTCTTTGGCCTGCTGAAGATGCTGAAGTTTTCCTTTCGTCTTCTTTCTCTTCTTTCACCCATTTTTCTAAGCCTTTTCTTGCAGCAATTATATATATTCTTCTTGTCCATTATAAATTCGTACACACATCATAGAGGAGGGGGGGGGGGGGGGGGTCTCAAAAGGTTTGATAAGTGAATTTCTTTGGATCATGTTCTGTAATAGTTATTTCATTGGTTTCTTCTGGTGCAGAAATAAGTCTCCTACAAGGCAATCCTCTCTATTGCTTTACTTTTCTATAACTTGTAATGAATAGCTAGGCTAGCAAAAACATCAAGCTCAAACCAAGAAGAAGCTTCTAGGAAATAACTGCTTAGGCTCGGTTTGTTTGTAGTGCAAATTTCATTTGTATTGGTATAAATATATGGGAGTGCAAATAGACGAATGTCAATTTGGGTTTACTTTTGTTTTAATTTTGATCTATTTTGTTTTATTTGTTTGTGAGAAGTAAAATAGGAAGTAAAATGAAGTAATTTCTACCTTACAGGGAAAAGAATGGAGATGGGGGATTATTTGTTTGAGAATGAGTTATATTGTCCATTGACAAACCATCAAAATAATGGTTTTTAAAACAAAAGCAAATGTAGAAGTACAAATATTGTATTTTTATGAAAGATTGTGAGTTATATTGTATGATTTAAAATAAAATTTTGATTTTCAAATCAGAAATTCAAGAGCATGTCTTTTATTTTAGTTTTGAAAAAAAAAAAAAACTCATATATATACAATCAAGAACATTTTTTTTTTGTGTTTTTGTTTTAAGAACCAATTTGTTTTCGAACCAGATGCATGGTCTTAAAGGGTATTCTACAACACGATTGTTTTTATTTTCAATTGTTTTCGAAATTGCCACATCAGCAATAAAACGAAAACATGTTTTTGAATTGGGTTTGTTTTGAAAATTAAAAACAAGTTGGTTTTATTTCAAGAATACAAACTTTGCAGTGTACAAATTATATATATGATTTACAAAACAGTATATTAAATAAAGATATGAGAACATGTTCTTTAAACACATTTTTGGTTTCAATTCCGGGAAAAAAAAAACATGTTTTCTATAGTGTTTTCAAACAATCATTGACTCAGGGGCAATTAACCGAACCATATTTGAACCGTCGTCCAGTGTCAATTCCAGTTGGGGTCCATTTTTAGGGATAGCTCAAAAATAGTTGACTTTGTCAAAGACTCTTGACCCAGGTGGTTGAACCATCAACCTATTTGACCCAAACAACAGGTACGTCATGGGTTGTAAATTATTTTATACATATATTGCATGAAAACTTCCAAGAGCCATAACTTTGCACTTAATTGTCAGCTTTTTTTTTATAAAAAATATGGTTGCAAGGTGGCCCGCTATTTTTACAAAAAATACATTTTTTTTGCCTGAAATCTTAATTTTTAGTATAAAAATTAAACCTAAAACAAAAAATATATATTGTATTTAAATAATAATTACATATTTCACAAACAAACACATTCAACACAAACGGTTGAACCACTGACCCAAAACTGTTCAGCCTCCAAAAGCATTGGTTATCTAGTTTTTGCTTTAAAAACCAATTTGTTTTCAAACAAACTGCTTTTGTTTTATTTTTGAAACTGACAACAAGAAAAACAATTCACATTCACATTGAATAACACCCTCTTAGTACCTAAGAAGTATGTGTCGACAACCTAGCTAGCTACACTGTTTTTCTTGACCAATTTGATCAATTGCTTTCACTACGTTAAGTCTTTGTCTTGGTAGAACTAAACTCGTGAAGCACTAGTTCTTGTACTATCAGAGCTCCCATCTCTCGTTTTTCCTTGACAGACTGCTTTAGTTTCCCAAATCATCAACAAGAAGACCTTCAGTCTCTATAATGCTAATATAATGAGTCAATTTGGCTTCTTCCTAATTTGAATTACAAAGTCCAGACAAAAGAAAGGATGGTCCGTATTATATATATATGAGCTAGGTAGCTTCCAATGTCAAATCCATTGTCTCCAATAATAATTTTCAAGTCTTAGTCTTCCCAATTACAACTCTCAAAACAATTAAGCCAGCAATTTCCAATGTATAGGCTTCCTTACTATTTATGGGGTGCTCCCATAAATCCTATTGAGCACTGAGCAGCTCCACCAATCGATTATGAAAAGGATGAAACTTATAAACAGTCTCTCCCCAGAAACATCACTGATGTGAAATTTCATGGATAAGGTAGTCATGGATGTGTGTGTTCAATCAAGGAGACAATTGCAATTTTATAATATAAGATTGGACACCACCTTTATCTTAAAAACTTAAGTCATTAAGTTGTAGTCCAATCTTTATATACAAGTCCTTTGCACATTTCATTTCTTTTCGATGTGGGACTCTACATTCAATACATATTCAACATTCTAACTTCAATGTATTGTAAACTAGACAAGATCCAAGTAAGACTTTCAGCAGTTTGAGGCCATGGATCTACATTCCGTTTACTCACTCCATTGACCCTACTATTTTAAATGTATGTACACAAATGAACTGAAAACTGAAGGTCGTCTCAAATGTAGTTCAACCAGACTTGGGTCCTAGTTAAATAAGTACAAGAGCAAGATTCATTTATCAAAGTGATACCTTGTTTAGTACAATTTGAAAATGAAAGGATGATTTAGAGCAAATGGAAGTTCTTAATTATATCTTGTTTCTTTTCCTTTCGAGAAAATATATTGAGAAGCATGGTTTAAAAAAACCACCCGGAAATGGAACCATTCTGGCCACTAGTTTCCGGGTTAATGATTCGATCGTCTGGTTTGAACGGATGGCCCATTTTGACAACAGAAATTAAAAAATTAAAAATAAAAAATAAAAAATGGTCAAAAACTGTTGAACGGGTCGATGATTTGACCGTCTGAATCATTGGATCGTTAACTGATTTAACAGTTTTTGGACAAAGACTGAGTTTGGAATAAAACAGAACCGGTTATCTGGACGGTTCCCAGGCCAAACGGTCAAACTGTCCGGGTCAATGGCGGTTCAAAAACCATGTTAAGAAAGAACTAAGAGAGATGGATGTATAATGTTCGTGAAAGAAAAAGAAAAATGTATTCAATGTTGGTCATAATGTTTTATCATGA